CACCCAGGCGCCCCCCCCCCATATCTGTTATTTTTACCTTTTTATTACATGCATCTCTTTTCTCCTTGTATCATACTTATTCATGTGACCTATCATCACCTTTTCTAACCATAAGCGTCTCAAGAGCTGGCCCACGTCCTAATCATTTCTTGGCATTGTGCTTTACGCTTAGTAGGTGTCCAGTAAGTGTCTGCTGGGCGGAGAAGTTGATAAATGAAGTGTCCTAAACTTCTTCCTATCCCCTGCAGGTCCTAGGATAGTGCTAGGCTTTCAACAGCCGAGTCCCAGAAGAATGGATGAATTAATCAGTGAGCAAAACAATGAATTAACAGATCAATAAACTAATGAGCCATTGAGCAATGGCTTGAAAGGAAGAGAGTTCATGTCTCACATGGGGGTCCAGATCTGCAGAATTAGTGTAAAGGGTGTGCAGTGTATGAAACAGGCTATTTCTAATCAAGTCTCCTGTTTTGTATTTAATTCTGTAACTGGTCGTGGTAGATGTAATTGCTCTCGCAGAGCATCCAAGTAAATCCTGTCCTGTGCTTTGCATCTTGTCTTGCAGGTGTGAGCGTCATCTCTTCGCCACGGTGGTGTTTGGTCCATACCTCAGCCCGGGTGAGGATGTAAAACCCCCCGCTCTGCACATGAGTGGTACAGGCCAACAGGAACATCTGGCTGCAGCCACGTCCACAGACATGTCAGCCGTGGAATAGTGTGGACGCCTCCTCTCAGCTTCTCAGGGTTTCAGTCCTTTTGGGTTTGTCTCATTGACCTTTTTTTATGGTTTTGTGGCTGGACGTTCACGACCAAGGCAGGCGCCATGGGGGATCAGCAACTATACAAGACCAATCACGTGGCCCACAGCGGTGAGAACCTTTTCTACCAACAGCCACCACTTGGCATCCACGGCGGGCTGAACCACAACTATGGGAATACAGTCGCCGGGGCTGGAATGGATGCCCCTCAGGCATCGCCCATCTCCCCCCACTTCCCTCAAGATACTCGGGATGGTCTAGGCTTGCCTGTTGGTTCCAAAAACCTTGGCCAAGTAGATACCTCGAGGCAGGGAGGGTGGGGAAGTCATACAGGACCCGGAAACCACGTCCAGCTCCGTGGCGGCCTGACCAACTCAAACATGATGTGGGGGACACCGGCCCAGGCTGAGGCCACCGATGGCTACCAATATACCTACTCCCAGGCCAGCGAGATCCGGACCCAGAAACTCACCAGCGGTGTCCTGCACAAGCTAGACTCCTTCACCCAGGTGTTCGCCAACCAGAACCTGCGAATTCAGGTCAACAATATGGCCCAGGTGCTGCACACCCAGTCGGCAGTGATGGACGGAGCCCCTGACAGTGCCCTCCGCCAGTTGCTGGCCCAGAAACCCGTGGAGCCCCCAGTACCGGCTATTTCTTCTCGCTACCAGCAGGTGCCCCAGCAGGCTCACCCTGGTTTCGCTGGCGGGCTGTCTAAATCAACTCTCCAGGTAGGGCCGCACCCTAGCCAAGGGCATCTGTATTATGACTACCAGCAGCCACTGGCGCAGATGCCAGTGCAAGGCGGACAGCCACTGCAGGCCCCACAGATGCTGTCCCAGCACGTGCCACAGATGCAACAGCACCAGTATTACCCGCAGCCGCAACAGCAGCAAGCCGGGCAGCAGCAGATGGCCATGCAAGAAATGCAGCAGCAGCAGCAGCAGCAACAGCAGCAGCAGATTCGCCCAGCACAGCCTCAGCAGCCGCAGCAGCAGCTGCAGCTACAGCAGCGGCAGGGTTCCATGCAGATACCTCAGTATTACCCATCCCAGCCCGTGATGCAGCACTTGCAAGAGCAGCAGCAGCAGCAGCAGCAGATGCACCTACAGCCCCCTTCTTATCACAGGGACCCCCACCCGTACGCCCCAGAGCAGGCGCACGCCGTCCAGCTGATTCAGCTGGGCTCCATGCCCCAGTACTACTACCAGGAGCCCCAGCAGCCCTACAGCCACCCCCTCTGCCCACAGAGCCACCTGCCCCAGCACCAGCAGCGCGAGGACGGTCAGCCCAAGACTTACCCAAGCGACAGGCAGGCCCCGGCCATGCTGAGCTCCCACGGCGACCTGGGGCCTCCTGAGGCAGGAATGGGAGACCCGGCCAGCTCGGACCTGAGCCGGCTCAGCAGTGCCCTCCCTCATCGGCCACTCCTGTCCCCCGGCGGGATCCACCTCAACAACATGGGGCCTCAGCACCAGCAGCTGTCTCCCAGTGCCCTGTGGCCTCAGGTATTCCCATGGGGGGAGTTTCTCTTGGTATCTCGGGGTGCTGCAGGGCCAGCCAGGGCTGAGTGTGTGCGGAGCCCCGTCCTCTCTGCCGCCCCTCCAGGGCCTTTTGTTCTTTTTTTATTACCCCACGAACGTTAACCTACGTGTGCCAGGTGAGATCCGGGCCAGGCATGTGGAATACAAAATCAATTTCAACTCAGTCCTTGTGACAGAGGTGGCCAAAATACCACGGGAGGTCCCGGATGATGTATGTAGCAGTCAAGGCCTGAGTCAAGGGTCCAGGGATAATCCAGCAGGGGTGTCTGGCCCCCTTCGATCTGAATCCTCAGGGAATTCCTTGTGAAATTGTTTCCCCTTTGGGAAGGAGACCACGTTATGACAGCATTGCTCAAAGTATATCGCTCTGAAGAGAACTACCATAGAACGTTTAATAGATATGGCTGGGGGGATGGGTTCTCCAGATGAATAAATGTGGCGGCAGGGGTGGGGGGGTTCTTAAAGTGAGTCAAGTTGTAGTGCTGAGGGGCTTCTCAGAGCCTTTAACAGGCCCATGTGCGCTGTGAATGTCCCAGAGGGAATACCTCCTGTAGCTTCAGAGATGAAAATCTTAGCCGCCCTCAGGATCCAGGCAGTTAAACTGAGTAAGCAAAATGACTTGTCAGGAGACCATCAGGGATGGCGCCAGCTGTGCTGGCCTGGAGGACAAATGCCCCATCTCTTGGCATTCTTATTCAGGACTTTTCAAATCGGTCTAGCCAAACAAAAACTGTCTGCAGGCCTGTGGGCCGCTGTTGCTAACCTTTGATAGTTTCCCAAATGGATTTGCCGTAAAACGGCCCCCTGTGTGCTGGGCACTACTCATGCCTTGGTATGTTCCAGATGCTACACCCATGTGACAACAGGTTCACAGGAGAAGGGAGCCTTGAATGGGACCAGGATAGGTGGAGAGAGGGCTCTGATGGAGGTTGGAGGCTGGAGATGAACTTCCCTTGACCCTGTCTTGTTTGGCACTCAGGCCCAGTGGTAACTGAGAGCCTTTCTGAATATAAGAATAAGGTGACATGGCCAAAGCTGACCTGACCAGCAGGCGGCCTCCGGGCATGCTGCTGTGTCATCCAGCTCTCTGTTCCATATCTCTCTTGGGAATGGAGCCTGTCTGTGCACAGAGTGGTGGACAGGGAGAACAGGAAGGAACAAGGTGGGGGACAGTCCTGATGGGCTGGTGGCTGGTGGCGGCTCCCGGAATGGGCATGGTCCTGCGTTGCGGGGCTGGGGAAAGCAAGGGAAAGAAGTGTCAGGTGCACCCAGCATCCAGACATGAACTGCTGGCCCCTGTGAGCTCAGGAAGCATTCTAGAAGCGCAGACCCTGGGGGTCCCTCAGCTCAAAGACTCCTTCCATCAAAAACACACTTTTTTCTCTTTCTTTTTTCTTCCGGTGTCGTGCATGGCTCAAAATTAGATGCATCTACCTGATGGCAGAGCCCAGCCAGGGTCCCCCGAGTCAAGGTAGGATTGATGCAACGAGGCATGTGGGCATTTGGGGAGACTGGGAGGTTTTCCGGGATTGTCTCTCGAGATTCATTTTCCAAGTCAATTACTCAAAGAGGTTTGTAGGAATAATAATAGCAACTATTGTGTTTGAGCACTTACCATGTGGTAGGCACTCTATATTTTGTGTGATAAAGCCACTCAGTGAGGGTAGGTAGGATTACCATGTGCCTAGCACATAGTAAGCACTCCGCCATTGTTAGCTTTATTACTATGACTTTACAGAAGAGAAAACAGGCTCAGAGAGCTTAGAGTTGTATGGCAAGTAAGTGGCAATGCTGGGATGGACTCAAAGGCCATGTTCTGTCCACTGTTCATTCGGTCAGTATTTAGTGAGTACCTACCATGTGCTGGGCATAGAGCTAAGCTTTGAGAACGCAGCAGTGAATAGTACAGACTTGCTCCCCTCATCATGGGCATGGTAAATACTGTTCCAGAACCTGAGAAACTGCTAAGTCTGGAGCCTGAACCAGAGGACTTAGACACGTGTCTCTAAGGGAAGGCTTCTGGAATAGGCGGCCCAAGCTGACCCTAGAAAGGTGATTGGTCAGAGGAGGAAAAAACCCAGCACTTGACGGCCTAGAACGAAGCAGGTTTTGTTCAACTCTTGCACGGTTTTGAGCAAGCCCTTTCCCACTCTTGAGCCTCAGTTTTCCTTCTGTAAATTTGGCTTAGTTTGGGACAGTACACGTGGGGCCCTGGGAGCACTAGATAAATGAAATGGGTTCATTGTGGGGTGTGAGGTCTTGTGATAAGTCGTTCTTCCTCTTTCTCAACGTGTGTGTCCTCTTCGTTTGGCCCTACCCTTGAGCAGTGGCCAACCAAAAGGAGTGTTTGGGGAGCAGTTTGATGCCAAGAACAAATTGACGTGCTCCATCTGCCTGAAGGAATTCAAGAGCCTGCCTGCCCTGAATGGCCACATGCGGTCCCACGGGGGAATGAGAGCCTCCCCCAGCCTCAAACAGGTTAGCAGGAGCCAGCCCCCCAGCCCTTCCCAGGCCATGTGCTGCTTGCTTTGCTTTGCTGCTGTCAGACAGAGAGTGATGTGAACCCCACGCGGGTACCTGGGGAGGCACAGTCCTTCCCTGACGGGAGTGCTTAAGCTTTGACGCTAGGAGCCGGCCAGGTCAAACAGACCCCGCTTGCACCAGTTCCATGAACAAGGGTCAAAATCAGAGGGACTAGAAGTCTTTTTTAGGAGATCCCAGTCTCCCCACCTCCTAGAAAAGACAGCAAAAGAAAACATGTAGATTTTTAACTTCTGCTGCTTGAAGCACCCAAGACCAGCGTTCTCTTGGGCCTTCCAAATTAGTAGCCAATGGCCCCGGGAAAGCTAACGTGACCTTCAGGCTCTCAGCCAGCATTTTCTATTCATTAGTGCACACTAGCGTTAGGCTGTAGCAATGGAAGGTCTTTAAATACGCTCAGGAGTATCCAGGGAGGATATCCATGTGGTGAACTATCCGTGCGGTTTTAGAGTTAGATTAAAATCCGATGAAGAATTTCTTAAATTCTTTGGATATTATTGATCTGAATTTAAGTCTGTGGGATTAACTCTCTGTTCTCCAAAATTTTGGCCCACCCAGGTCACTTCCATTGCCTGACCATACCAGATAAAAGAGCTTTGTCTTCCATTTGCCAGATGAGTAAACTGAGGCCCATAGAATTAAAAGGTCCTACACAAGAGCTTATGTGTTCTGTTTTGTGCCTGATCACCAGTCCATATTCTTTTCTTTAAAAGCAGTGACAACAGATGTTTAATATCTGTTTTAATTATGCGAGTGATAACAGTCTAGATTTTTTAAATGTAGAAAATAGAATTGCATGGCCTTGTCCACTGCCAACTGGCATCACTTGAGCAAGGGACTCAGGGCCTTGCATCCTGAGTGCACCACCCTGCAGTGGTTCTCTGTCACCCACGCATGATGTACTAAAACATTTCGAAAAAGGCAAAGTGCATCCCCCCCACCCCCTTGGGAAGGCTGCTCTCAGCCCAGGATCAAAGCCTTTATTGTCTGTGTAGGAGGAAGGAGAGAAGGCCCTGCCGCCTCAGCCCCAGCCGCCACTGCCTCCGCCTCCGCCGCCACCGCAGCTCCCTCCCGAGGCAGAAAGCCTCACGCCTATGGTCATGCCCGTGTCTGTCCCTGTCAAGCTTCTCCCGCCCAAGCCAGGCTCTCAGGGCTTCGCCAACAGCATCGTTGCCGCCCCCTCCACCAGAGACAAGCCAGCCAGCTCGATGTCGGACGACGAGATGCCCGTGCTCGTGAGGATGACCCTTTCTCCCCCACACTCACCCCAAGGGGCTGCCCCCCACCCGCCTGCTGTGAGTTGCTGCCCTGCCCCGCCCGTCTGGGGTGGGAACATCCCTTTGCTTTCCTGGAGATGGGGCAGCTCTTCCAGGGTCACTTGCCTGAGCTCCAATGTGGCTTGGCCTCTCAGGTTGAGCACCACCCCCCGCCCCCGCAATCATGGCTGCCTTGGGAATCCCATCTTTGTCCACACTGGCTGCTACCCAGGCAAATTGTCTGTTACTCTACCAGGCGAATTGTCTGGGTTAGATTCTGAGAGACCCGAAAGGGTTCCAAGATTAAAACAAAGATGATAACTCAGCTGGTAATCACAGCTATTAAAATACAGAAATACTATCCCAAGTAATAAAAAGCTGTTGCTCAGGGCCCTGGCTCCTCCTTCGAGATCTTCGAGCCTCCTCAAATTCAGAAGTCAAAGATGTAACCCCTGGCACAACAGAACCTCCACACAGCAGCCCTGGCATCCGTTCTGATGGCCAGCCTAACCAGATGCTTGATATTTTCGGTATCACACCTGCATAAATATCCTGGGAAGATATTTACTAAGGTTCCCAAAATAATTCCACTGAAAGGCACCCACCCCCAATCCCAGGAAAGCAAAGAGATTTGTGTTTCTCGCTCACTGTTAAATTCTCCTTCTCTCTCAAATTCCAATTGCTTCACCCAAGCAGCTTAGCGTGGCTCTGGGGCAGAGATCTCTGTCTCCGTCTCTCTCTCTCTCGCTCTCATTCGATCTCTTCCCCCCCCCAACTTCCTTCCTTCTCTCCCTCCTTCGTTCTTTCTCTCTTCCTTCCTTCTTCCCTTTTTCCCTCCCCTAGGGAATCTGTAACCCACATGGTTGACAACATCAGACTTGTGTATGCTGGGTCACATTTGTCCTCAGAGAAGAGGTGGCTGCTGGGATCCCAGGTGGCATGAGGGTGGAGGTTGGGCCATAATAGGGGTAGGGAGAATAATGAAGAGAACTAGAAAGGGCCAGAAAGAATATTCTTTGTTCTCTGTGTAATACCAAGGCCTCAGAAGAGGAGAAGCTAATGGGGAGCCTCTGGGGGTGAGGGTTCTCATAAACCAGAAGGACTTGGAGGCCAGCAACAGGCAGAAAGATGAAATGACAGAGCCGGGCTCCCCCTTTGCCCAGGGAAGTTCCTGATTTGGTAGGAGGGACACGGTTGCTACCCCTAGAGAAGTGTCAGCCTGAAGCTGGACACAGTAAGATGCCTAGTCACATGGGGATCAGAGCCCCACGCAGCACCCCCTGCTCCAATTCAGACAGTGAGAGAAAAGCCAGGGCAGAGAAGAAACCGTGATCCCCTGCATGTGGCTGGACGGGAGCACCCCTGGGCAGCTAAAGTAACCAGGGGGCTGGGGAGGTGCGAGGGAGTTTGGTATGAGTTTGCTCAGCAGATCACCATGAGGACAGTTCTGAGCAGGGTTTTAAAGGCATTGATGGAGCTGGCTGTGTGGAAAAGGTGAGAGAGAACTCATGAGTAAGGAGATACGCTGAAGAAGAAGCATGTAGCTGGGATTGAGTGAACACAAGCAAGGTCCTGACACTTGACTTAAAGAAATTAAAATATCTCGGGAGGACCCCTGAGTTCTAATCCCCACTCTGCTACTAGCCAGCTGGGGATGCAGGCAAATGAAACCCTCCCCCTCACGGAGCCTGGGTTTCCCCCCTGAGCTTGGGTTTGGACTCATCATCTCCCTGTTCTGGGGGAGCTTTTAAAACCTCTGTGAGTGGTCCCGCCTCCAGAGTCTGAATAGATTGGTGGAAGTGGAACCCTGCAAATGCTTCCTGTCAAGTGACATCCAGGTCTGACATTCTGGGTGGCTTCTCTTGCCCAGGTTCTCAGAGCCTTGCCTGGAGTTGAGAGTTGGAGTGACAGGACCAGAGGCTCAAGTAGAGGGAGCCCAAAAGGGACCTTTGACCCTGTGATCAGAGGTCTGGATTCCGGTGCAGGGTTGAAGTCATGCAAGGTCTGCATGTGCTCAGATGGCCTCATCAGTTACCCAGGATCAGGATATATAAAGCCTTAGGATTGCTTCCCAACTTGGGGGGCATAGATGTCCTCTCCCCATTCTCCTCAGACCTCTTTCTCCGCCTCAGCCTTAGATGGTGAGGAGCCCTCTGGTGGGGAGAGGAGACAGGTTGTGGCACTCTGGCCTAAGGAGAGCCCCCCCTGGGGGTGAGCTGGGAGGCTGAGCCGGAGGGGGGCGGGGCTCTGCCCCCTCTTCTTTCCTCACCTCTCAGTTTCTCTGGACTTCCTTCCCAGGGGCTGGGATAGCACTCCCGAAGACAGTGAAACTAAGGGACAAACAGGAGGGGTGGCAGTGGGAGCCCAGAGCTGAGGGGTGACTGGAGCATGTCAATGGCCTGGAGGCAGCTGGTCACATGACCATGGCCAGCCCTTCCCATCACCCCTTGCTGCCTCCTACTCAGATGCTACCCTAGACACAGGAATTGCCAGGAACTACAGCTGTGACAGGCACTGGCCTGCAGGGCCTGGGAGGGTGCCACAGACTGTCCAGAACTTTTCTGCAGGTATCCCCACTGCCTCTCCCAACCCCACTGCGTGGCCTCCCCAGCCACACCCAGCTCTGGGTTCTTCTGGGCCGATGCTGGCACACAACCCACGTCTGTTTCTGTTTGGCTTTGGCATGCCCTGCTTATCTATTTGTGTGCATATGTTTACTTATTAGTATATATGTATCCACGTGGCAGATCTTCCTTCCAGACTATGCTTGGTGCCGCTGCCATAAAATAAACGAACGCTGCTGACAGGAAGCAACACAGGAGAAAGGCTTGCTGCAAATGAGCTACCAGGCCTGGGAGCATAGTGAGGGGTGGTGAGGGGGGAGCTCGACCAAATCCATTTTTAGGAGAGCAGAGGGCCTTAAAGACCATAGATGGCTCTCCCTCAGCTCGTTACCTCGCAGGAGAGCCTGGTGTGTGGGTCACTGGCCCTGGGAGCCTTGGTTAGGCCTGTGCCCCTCGCCGCAGCCTCTGCCCAGCTTCCCTGCGTGGATTATTCTTGTCCCCTTCTCAGAACATGTGTTATCTGTCCCCGATGTCTGTCCCCTGGGAGCGGTGGGGAATTAAAGGGCCCACTCAGGCTGGATTCCGCTCACCAGATGGGAATGCAGTGATAAGCAATAAAGAATGTGAATTTATTCTTTCTTGCCCACCCACCATTCCTACCACCCCCATCCCCAGACATTAGGGATTTCCTCCCAACCCAGAGTTTTCTCCCCGGTCAAGCCACGGAACTCGCCCTGTGGGAAACGGATGGGGCTGCTTTTCAAGGGAGGGGATGCGGGGGAGGGGGGACGGCGGACAAGTGGACAGGCAGCCCCCCGTTAGCGCGGAGGGTCCCCTTCCCTCAACCTGTGGAAACGGCCTGCGGGGAAGGCCTGAGTGTTCGAACGGGCCCATTCTTTCCGTTCCAGGAAATTCCCAAGAAGCATCAGCCGGCCCCGGCCAAAGCCGAGGAACCCCTCAGGACGTTGCCGGAGAAGAAGAAGTTCCGGCACCGGCCCGAGCCGCTCTTCATCCCGCCACCGCCCTCCTACCCCGCCAACCCCGCCGCCGCCTCCTACTCGGGCGCCACCCTCTACCAGAGCCAGCTGCGCTCCCCGCGCGTCCTCGGGGAGCACCTGCTCCTGGACCCCGCCCACGAGCTGCCCCCCTACACGCCCCCGCCCATGCTGAGCCCGGTGCGCCAGGGCTCGGGGCTCTTCAGCAACGTCCTCATCTCGGGCCACGGCCCCGGCGCCCACCCTCAGCTGCCCCTCACGCCCCTGACGCCCACGCCGCGGGTGCTGCTGTGCCGCTCCAGTGAGTCCCCGCCGCCCCTCGGGGCCTGGCCCTGCCGGGTCCTCGCCGCTGCGGGAGGGGCTCCCATCCTGCCGTGGGGGCGCATGTACCCCACCAGCTTTTGCCGTGGCCCCGCTCCATGCAGCACGCCCTGGGCCGGGTGCCAGAGGTAGAATAAGTGTGCGGTGCTTACCCTCGAGGCAATCCCAGTCCAGCTGGGGAGACCCCAAAGCCGTGATTACGGTCTCTTTGGCCTAAGCGGGTGGTTCAAGTGTGCACACGCTGCCTGAGCCTGTGCCGTGGATAATCGTCTGAGGCACCCCCGCATCATTGTACTAAGTAGATCTACGAATGGGGTTAGGTAGTATTTGCAAGGCCAGGCTTCCGCATTTTCTGAACATGCTGTGTAAAGATCAAGCACCGAGAGCCCGGTAGCCAGTATGTCTTTCTAGGGTGTGAATGGCTTCCTAGAAACAGTGAGCTTGGCAGACCAGAGTGGGGCCGCTGGCTTCCTACCCTGTGTGAGAAATGAGTAACCCTAAGCCATTTAACACCACACACCAGCCAGTTCCTTGGAAACTGCAGGGGGTAACTCTGGCATGGGTTGGGCGCGAGAGGGGTCCCAGTATGACTGTTTAGGTCGCTGCTCATTTGCTTCAGTCTCTTCGGTACCATTTCTTGTTGACCGTTACTCTGGTTTTGTGCTTCAGACAGCATTGATGGCAGCAACGTGACAGTCACCCCAGGGCCTGGAGAGCAGACCATTGATGTTGAACCGTAAGAAAAAGCCAATTTTATTTTTAAT